TGCATTTCTTCCAATTCTCTACATGGAATCTTCATTGTGTTAACAGACAGATGACAGAGACTAAGGTCTTCAGAAAACAGAGATGCCCTGTTGCTGCCAGAAAGCCAGTTGGTGCTAAGATACTTCATCTGGGGCATCACCACCATCTGGCATTTATAGAAATGCCCACACATTGGAAGATTCATTTCGCTTCAGGGTTATAGGTCAAGCCATACAAAAATGATAATTAAATCAGAATGTGAATTCATTATCTCACTGTGTTAAATATTTCAAGTGGACAGAATATCCCCTTTCCTAGTGCTGGTAATTAAATACTCATCAAAATTTGCTTGGTAAGTACAGAAATAAAGTAAAAGAAAATTCTAGATTATAGTCTATCTTTCCTTGTGTTTCATCTGGGTCTTCACGCTCCTCAGGCTTTCTGTTCCTGGTTCCTTAGCAACTGAGCAGTGTATAACCTGTACAAGAGAACAGTTCTCTCTTCTGAACTCCACTGCTCATATGTCTTAACCTGGATTCTCTAGGACCTGTTTAGTTTAGGATCACACTGCCAACAATTGCCTCTTTGGATATTGCCTGTTTGTTCAAGATACGGCCTTTGCATTTGTCCTCCAGAATTGTATTACTGAAATTTAATCCCCTTAAATTGATTTTGGTATCTAGAAGTGAGACCTTTGTAAGCAAGGGGTTGGGATTTGATCTGGCCAAGAGGCTGAAGCCTCCATGATGGCTTTATAAGAAAAGGAAAGATGCCAGAGTACACATATATGCGCTCCCTTTATCCCCTCAGATGCCTTAGTACTTTGGATGCATGAAGGCGATCAGCAGATGCTCCTTGAGCAGCAAGAACTGTGAGACAGATAAACTTCTGTTCTTTATAAACTTACTCAACCTCAGATATTTCATTATAGTGATGCAAAACAGGCTAATCCAGACAACTGTATTAGAGAAGAAACATCTATGTCTCTAAACTGTTATACACGCATAGTTATGCACTCTTGATCTCCTTGGAAACAACATAGAGAAGGGTTAGGCTGCCTCAGTTGAAGTCCTAGCCCAAGTCTGTTCACTTGTACGAAGGAGATATAATGGTACACACCTCAGATGTATTATCTTAGAGCTCTAGACATCAGAAGTCTACTAAGGACCAGAGGAGTTAAAATTGTTCTGCATGCTCCCGGGACAGCCCTTCACTTTGCTTTCCAGCATCCAGTGGCAGCATCCTGTGGCTGTGACACTGAGGTCTCTGTTTCTGCTGCTTCTGTGGTGGTGCTGATGCTCCCTTTGTCTTATAGGGACTCTTGCAACTAACTACACAATAGCAACCACATCATACTGTGTCATCTTTCCATTTCAAACTCCTTAGTTCAGCCATACATACACCACCTGACTCTTCTTAAAGGCTCTGCTAGCATATAAAGTGATGTATAAGGAATATAGAAGGAATCAGATGTGGACATCTTTGGAGGGGCATTATTTTGCCTCACAAGATGAAAAAACTGGTGACTTCAGGTTGTTTAAAGCAGTGCTACACCATCAAAGTGACTCTGCCTTTAAAGGCCATTTGGTAACATATGAAGACATTTTTTGGTTGTTGCAATGGGATGGTGGAACTTGCTGCTGAGCATCTAGTGACTGGGGATGCTGCTAAGTATTTTATAATGCCAGCATCCTCTGTGAAGAGTTATCTATCCATCCCAAAATGTCAGCAATGATGAGGTTGAGAAACTGATTTAAAGCATATGATTTGGAGGAATCTCTTGAGTTTGGAAGGTTACAATAAAAAAAAAAAGTCAGTTTCAGAATTTAGAATTACATAAGCAGTATAATGAACCACACACAAGCTCTGTTTCTCTAAGTTTTTGACACTGTTAAATGTCTAGTAAATGATAAATGACATAGTTTTATACTAAAATGTCCAGCCTTGCCTTAACTTGTTACTTGTTTTATTGAGGTCTGGCCAACCCCATGAAATCAGATATAAGCAAGACAAAGGATGCATTGTAAACATTACTTTATATGTATTATAAAATCACAGATGCTCAAACTCAAAATATATAAGACCCATAGACGCCAGTTATCAGTTTTCGCCTCAGTGTGGCTTCCCTTCTGTTTCTTGGTGTACATTTGCCAGGAAGTTCCTGTGTACTGACTGGCATGAAGTTGCAATTCACTTTCAATTAAAGTAAGCATCATACCTACTTCTCCAATTCTCAAGAATGTCTGTGCTCAGGTTTGAGCTTTCCCGATCATCCAAAGTGACTGCAGAATTGTTATTAGGAGTCTTTACTTTTTTCAACGTATTTCTTCCCATCTTCCTTCTCTCCACCTACTCTGCTCTCCTCATCCTTCTGTATCACTTTCTCCAGTCTAAGGTCTTCTGTATTTGAAACAACTTCTAAAGGAACTTGTCTTTTTGGTGACAGAAATGATTTCTAAGCCGATATGGACTGTCTCTTCTCTCTCTCTCTCTCTTTCTCTCTCTCTCTCTCTCTCTCTCTCTCTCTCTCTCTCTCTCTCTCTCTCTCTCTCTGTGTTTACATGCATGTGTCTGTCTGTCTGTCTGTCTGTGCATGTATAAGAGCATAGGAGAGCAGAGTGCAAACATGCGCATCTGCGAGGTGAGGATCGTGCCATCTTTATCTTACTATTTTTTTTTTCAGGAAAAAATAGTAGCTTGGAATCTGAAAGTGTCCTTACAGCTTGTGGACCAATCGAGCAAAGTGATGGGAAGTCCAGCTGTGCCATAGAGGCTGTGTCTGCTGTACACATGTCTATACCAAGGGAATGCTCTTGGGACACTTTATATTCACCATGATTTTTAGGTTATAATAAAAGAGTAAAAGCTAAATAAATTTTGGCAAATTGGTACTTGCCAAACATTATTTAAAAGCCATATTCCTAAATATCAAGTAAGATTTCAGACGCCAAATGTCACTCCATGTGGTGGGTACTACTACAGGAATCTGCCAGATCCCTGGGATTACATCACCTATACAAGCTTATAAACATCTGCCTATGTAGTCAAAGAATCCCAAATAATCCAATTTCTTTAAAAGTATAGGAGAGAACAGAAAACCTAGAGATTAAGAGATTTAAAGGACATGTGAAGTGTGCTGAGGACAGAGGAACTAACCATTACAGGTCAGGGTGTAATTATAAGTTTCTCAAAACAGGAGCAAATGCCAGGACAACTTGGGAGAGAGAGGGAGAGAGGGAGAGAGGG